TTTGAGCACAAAGTAAGTGTTATTTTTGAAATCGGCAGGTTCGAAAATACCAGAAAATTTAGATTTCCAAACTTTTTTCGAGTTTTGAAAGAAGAGCGAATATTCCAAAAAAAATGTAATTTTTCAAAAATAGAATTTTGAATTTGTAGTATTTTATATCAAAATTTCTAGAAATTCCATTAATTTTAACGCCAAATAAATGTGATTTTCGAGTTCTGAATATTCGAAAATACTGGAAAAAATTATGCTTCAAAAAGTTTTCGAAATTGAAAAAACCCCAATTTTTGAAAAATGTTAAAAACGAATTTTAGATTTTTCTGGAATTTTTGAATTTCGATTTTCGAAATTCTTGAAAATGGTAAATATGGATTTGTCTGGAAGAAATAGAAAACGTTACAAAATTCTCAAGAATGCCCTTTTCCACCCCCTAAACTAAAAAAAACCCCGGTACACCCCAAGATCTTTCCCATGGGACCAATCTTAAAAACCACAGGAACGGAGGAAGGGGGGTCAAAATGATGATAATGATGGGCGGCTCTTCTTGTTCTCGTTTCTCTGCGTCTCTCTCTCTCTCTCTCATTTCCTTGCTCTTGTGATGATTGATGAGTAGTTGGGACCCCTTTTGTTTCAAGGAGGAAGAGAACATTTGTCATTTATGGGTTTAGCGGAGGTTTATGGCTCTTTGGATTTACTATTTGGGACAAACAATGACACCCGCTTTTGGGAAAAAATAGTCTATATTGGATAGAAAATGAATAAGTTTCTACAGGGCCTAATTTCCTTTTTTGGCAAAAATGCTTTAACTAGACTCGCATAATAATGCCTAATTTCTACCTTTGGTGATCATATTTTGGTTTTCAATTTGAAGTTCTGAATAAATATGCATTCATATTAAAGCGCTTAAAATGTCACGCATTTTAGTGTAAAAATCACTTTGCTAGCTTTAAAACCAACAGAGTTATAACCATTTGTCTTGTTTTTATCATTAGAGCGCATTTTCACTGAATTGTGGATTTTTCGCGAACCTAGTTATGATTATACTTATTTTGAAGTCCATAAAATTTCTTGCATTTTGGTACAAATTTCATTTTTCTAGCTTTGGAACCAACCGAGTTATGGTCTTCTTTCTTATTTTTATCATTAGAGCGCATTTGCTTGTCAATTTTCAAACCTAAGCCAACCTAGTCATGTTTATACTTATTTTGAAGCGCTCGATTTGTAGAACTTAAAAATTCAGGCAGAATTCTTAGAAAAGTGCTATTTTTCTAATTAGAGCGAATTTAATGACCTGGGGTCGATTTTCGAAATAAGGTGTTTCTAGACAAATTTATATTCATTTTGAAGCCCATCAAATTTTCCACATATTGGCGCGAAATTCCTTTGTCCGGCTTTAAACTAAACCGAGTTATGTATATTTTGCTTATTTTTCTCATTACAGCGCGATTGCTTATCAATTTTCAAACTCAAGCCAACCTAGTCATGTTTATACTCATTTTGAAGCTCTCAACCTGTGGAATTCGAAAAACGTATTTAAAAGTCGGGAAAATTTGAGTTGTTCGCATTAGAGCGCATTTTTTTTAAGTCTCGAGCTAGGCTATCCTCATTTTGAATAGTTCCGGCTCGAAATTTGAATTTTAAGGTATTATTTTTTGAAAATTTCAAGAATTAAACGATAAATCAAGATGAATTAAGCAATTTGTAAATTGTTCTTTTTCCAAAATGAAAAATTTTTCATAGAAAAAATGGAAGAATGTGAAGAAGAAGAGGAGTCGGCTCGTCTTCTGAAGCGTATCCCCCTTCTTCTTTTCTTTTGTCACCGATTTATGAATATATGAATGTGAGAAAAGAGAGAGAGAGAGAGAGAGAGAGAGAGAGAGAGAGAGAGGCGCAGAGACATGTTGTTCTCTCCTATTGTGTTTTTTGAAAAGGAATCTCGTCGGAAGCATAAATCTTGTAAACGAGAGAGAAAAAGTACAAGGAAAAAGTTTCGAAGACTTTTATAAAATGAGATTTTTGCATTTCAGATGGGGGGAAAAGAGAAAAAAAGAATCCTAGAAGATTCTGGAAAGCCCCGCTCCCCTCAGAAAATTAATTGTTTAGATTGGATTTCAGATAGTGGAACGGATTCAGTAAAGCGTTAAAATCGGAAAAATGCCTCTAATTTAAAAGAAAACAGCCGTTGTTCGATTTTTATCAATGGAGCGCGTTTTCAAATTTTTGGCTAATATCAACGCATGTTTTTTTCATTTTGAAGTATTTTCAATTTCACACATTTTGGTGTAACAATCACTTATCTTGCTTCAAAACTAAGCAAGTTATGAGTTAATTTGTATTGGAGCGCACTTTCTTCAAAATTTCAAATTCAAGCGAACCCCGGCTTGTTTATACTCATTTTGATGGTCTCAACGTGCTAAAGTTGAATATGTTGTTCATTTTCAATATTTTTCAAATTTAAACAAAATTATGGGTATTTTCAACTTTTTGCATTAGAGCGCGTATTCAAAATTTTTGCGAATTGAACCGAAAATAATTTTATTCAAAAGTCCATTCAATTTCACACATTTTGATGTAAAAATCACTACCCCCGCTTCAAAATTAAGCGAGTTATGAGTAAATTTGCATTGGAGCGCACTTCCTCCAAATTTTCAAATTCAAGCAAACCCTACCATGTTTATACGCATTTTGAAGGTTTTGATGAACCAAATCCAAATTTTCCATTTGTTTTTCAGTAGGTTTCGAAAATAAACAAAATTATGGGTGTTTTTAATTTTTTGCATTAGAACGCGTTTTCAAAATTTTTGCTAACTAAACCAAATTCAATTTCATTTTGAAGTCCAGTCAATTTAACACACCCTGGTGCAAAAATCACTAAACTCCCTTCGAAATTAAGCAAGTTGTGCGTAGATTTGCATTAGAGCGCACTTTCTCACCATTTTCCAATTCAAGCAAACCCGGTCATGTTTATACTCATTTTGATGCTCTTGACGAGCCAAATTCAAATTTTCCACTGGTTTTCATTAACTATCAATTTTGAACCTGAAAATTCGGAAAATCTCATAAATCTGAAAATCATAAAATGCTCCAATTTTCGCACAATTTTATGATGATGGAGAGGAGAGAAAAGCGAAGGGTGGAAAACATAAGTCACTTCATTTTTATGTCATTTTTCCGTTCTTTTAATTTACAACACAAGAGGAGGCAATTCTCACTCGCGTTAATTGGTTCTTTTTACTTTTATTTCTAAAGAATAGGGGGGGGGGGGGGGGACAAGAAGACGGAGAAATTGAAGAACAATAGGAATATTCTGGCGAAAACAAATGGATTATCAAGAGTGAGAGAAGCTTCGATTTAGAAGAAGTTGACGTCGACTGTTTGTCCGGATGTCCGAGATTTCGGAAACTTCAGAACCCCGCCACCGTTAAAAAAAGAGAAAAAGTCGAAAAACCCAAAAACTAGAGAATCCTGGAAAGTCTGAAATCTCGAAAAATGCAAACATCTAAAATTCCAAAGTTTTGGTATTAGAAGTAGGAAGATCCAGAAGTTTCGAAATCCAAAAACTCAAAAAATTTAAATTTTCTGAAAATTTAGAAAATCTGAAAATCCCGTCAATTCGGAAAAATCTGAATATTAGAAAATCCTGTAAAATCCAAAAAATCAGGAAATTTTTGAAAATCCTAAAATCGAAAAGTGTCGGATGTTTGGAATTTTTGAGAATCTTGAAAATTTAACTGACAATTTAGAAAAAGAGAGATATGAAATTCTGAAAAATCGAAGAATCCAAAAATCTTCCGAAAACCTGAAAAATTCAAAAATCCAAAGTTCTAAAAAAGTTTGGAAATCTGGAAATTCTGAAAAATCCACAATTTGCAAAAATCAGAAGTTTTAAAAAACCTGAAAATCAGATAAATCTATTTAGAATTCCAAAAAAAAATTGAAATGCTCAGAAATCTGAAAATCCTAAAAGTCTGAAAACCTGAAAAAATCAAAAAGCTTGAAAATCCTGAAAAAACTTGAGAATCCTGGAAAATGAAAAATCTGAAAAACCCAAAAATTCAAAAATCCTGTAAATTCGGAAAAACGTTGAAATCCAAAATTCTTTAAAACCATAAATTTCTCTATTTCATGAAAATGTTGAGTATCCCTGAACCCAAAAATGTTCCCGAAATCCCAAAATCAATGTTTTTTTTCTTTTTTTTTGGCGCCAAACTTCGTCTCTTTCCCAAAATTTGACCACCTGCTCAAAAAACTTACCACTTCGAATTAAAAATTTTTTTAATTAAATATTTACACAACCCCCATATTAAAAATCTAGCAGATTGACCTAAAACCATTTGAAAAAAATCAAAAATGCTCAAAATTTTGATTTTTCTATCATTTTCTTTTTTGATCTACCAAGCATCTGCGACTTCTGGGACCACTTATTGTGCTGGAAATGTCCCAGGAGAGTGCCAAAACT